CCAGGAAATCTCACACTCATACACCCACAACAAATTCTGAAACATTTACAACCCTAATTTTTGTATGGACCTCACATAAAAAAGGTTTAAATCCTTAGGTTGGGGACATGCTAAATAATTAAAAGTTCTCTCCTGAACTGCTCCTTTCACTTCCATTTCTTTACATCTCTCACATGACTTTAATACTCAAGATTTAACAAAACTATACTTTCTAAAATGTCAAAATTAGTACATCACTACAATATCTTTATAGAAAAATCCTAATACTGAACATGAGTCATGTTTTTTCCTTACAAAGTTTAACCATGCTTTTATTATAGTAAAAGTACAGTAACCATGTTTTTTTTGCAAATGGATTACCATTTGCATTTATTTTTACTATAAATTCCATGGTTAAACTATGGCTAGTGTTGCAAAAACCATGGTTAATTTGTAGTTACCATGGTTTAACAATAGTAACCATTGTCTTGATGTCCTTTTATACAGTATGAGATATTACAGCGAGCTGAAGCATTGCCAGTCACGACTAACCGATTTATTAGAGATTTAATTATCGAATGGCGAATTCGGAAATCGCTTTAGTACACTCAGCAGGCAATTATACAATAATAATATTAAAATAGCGGGCAAAATCGGCTACAATGTCACCGGGAATTGTCCCGGTTCTCCTGATGGCCAGTCCGCGCCTGATTTCCACAGACACGCAGAACGTGCAGGATTCATATATTGTCTTTTTGCGGCTTAATATTCACAGACACTAGTCTGTGATTCAAGACAACACTCGTTTTGATTCAAGTGTATTGACCTACTTTTGATTTATTCATCCAAAATGTGGCATATTCAGTCCGCGTTAGGCTGTAGGACTTCCGTTTTTATGACTGGATTCTACGAACCAGTCTGTGTTTTCTGCATCGCGTAAATTATAGGACCGTATGTCTCAGAGTAGTCAGTGCAATTTGGGAAAGAAATCAATTAAGTTTTTGGAATTAAGTATTTACTCTTCCATAAAGACACACTACTGTTCAAAAGTTATGGGTCAGTATGTTTTTTTTTTCTTTTATTCAGCAAGGGCACATTAAATTGAAAGTGACAGTAAAGACATAAGTATGTGAGCATAGAGAGTAGGAATAAAGCCAACAAATGTAAAGAGCTGGCAATAGACGGACTGCAAATATTACACTGATGGCAGAAATGCGCTAATTAACATATGGATTATGTGAAAATTCAGCTTTGCCTTGGCAGGACTAAATTTAATTTTAAAACGTATTAAAATCAAAAATACAGTAAAAACAGCAGTAATTTTCTGAAATAATATTACAATTAAAAATAACTTTTTTTAATTGTAATAAAAAATTGAGAATAAAACAACTTTTAAAAGTCCCCACTGTTATTAACTCTACATTTAATTTTGAAAGGGATTTTTTTCCCCGGAACTGTTGTGGTGATATGTAAACATCAGTTGTTACTGTA